AACAAATACTGATGGCATAGATGGTCTGGCATTTCAGCCATGTTTCTGTGGAGGGGGAGGTCTATATAATGCTTTACATATCTATATCATCAGGGGATCAGGAAATATCATTGTCCCCTAGTTGGAAAAAATGGGCTTGTTAGGAGGGAGGAGCCTCTGGACCCTGCTGACTGGCATGCCTATTTTTTTTTTTTTAACTCACTGAGGCCTCTCTGCTAAGTCATCAAAAGAGAAAAAGAAGTCTTATGTTATGCCTGCTGTCATAAGTGCTGTGGGTTCATGTGTGCAACTACCCTGTGGTGTCCAGATAACACATTTCCTTGTATTCATCTACCACCTCTGGCGCTTACTGTTTTTCCAGCCCCTATTCTGCAATGATCCCTGAGCCTTGGGACGAGAAGGTGAGATAGTATCATTTAGGGCTTAGCATGCCACAGTCTCTTATTCTCTGCACACTGACCACGTGTGGGTCTCTGTATTAATCTCCATCTACTGCAAGAAGAATCTCTGATTCTTCTTTGATGAGCTAAGAGATGTACTAATCTGTGAGTATAACAATTAGTCACTGTGAGTCAGTTTACTATTTTGTCTATTTAGCAGAACGATAGTAGTAGTTCTCCCCTTGTCTAGCCACAGGTTCTCATCCTGGTAACAGTGTCAAGTATGGACTCCCTGTTCTGTAGTGGCCTTACATCCAATTAGAAGGTGGCTGGTTTCTCCTATACTATTCATGTTATTGTTGTACATTTGGGTGCTCACAGGGTTCACAGCTGGGCAATGTGGATGATTGACTTTCTTTGTAAGCGTAGCATCTTCTAGTACTGTGAAAACTAGTCAGCAGGGATACATCTTCCAAGTCAATTCCAGCTGATTTCTCTTTGTTTGTTCTGTAGTGTTTTCAGCAATAGAATCTTACTCTCAAGTTCTGGTGAAAAGCCAGACAGACAGGAGCCCAACATGAATGCGGGAGGGGGACAGGAAACCCAAGCCCTAGCTCAGTATCTATTGGTAACTCTTGGATGCTCAGAGAGGAAGAGACATTTTTCCTTGCTGATGTGACACCTGGTAAGTTGACCAGACTTCAGGGCATGGTCCCACACCCAGAAGCACGTGGGGGGCCTGGAATAGAATCTATAGGCCTCTAAAAAACAATTTTTTAAGCACACAAATTTTTAAAAAGAAAAGGACAGATAATAATGGAGGACAGGAAATCGGGGGGAGGAGTAGTATGGAGGAAGGAGAGAGGGGAGGGGTGTCTGTGTGTGATCAAAATCCATTTTATGGTCCTGGAATAAATTTATTAAAGGGGAGGGGGAGAAAATGAGCCAGAGGGGCTGTCCAAATTCATTTTGTACACATCCACCCCTAAGCCTGGTGATGTAGCTCAATGGCAGAGGGCTTGCCTGGCATGCATAAGGCCCTGGGTTCCTTCTGCATCCAAAGAATGAATAACAAAATTCTACCGCAGACCTTGAGGGTTTATTCAGTGTATGTGTTTTCAGTGTTTCTAACTGACATCTGTTAGCATTTCCCAGGAGTGTTGAAGTTTCTGTGCTGTTGTCTGAAATTGTCTGGGATTGGGCTATCTTCTCTTAGGCCTTATGATTCATTAAACAAGGCCTGCACAGAATATTTATAATTCCATTACTTGCAATGAACTGTCTATAGACTTTACTCATGCCTATAAATTCTTTCACAGCAACAGCTAAATAAGTGTTTGAATAGCTGAGGACTGACTCCTAGACAAACTGAGAGAAAACTGACCTGTATTAGTTATCCTTTACTGCATAACAAATTACTCTAAAACTTAGTAGTTTAAAACAACATTTCTTATCTCACAGTTGCTGTGGGCCAAAAATCTAGGTGCAGCTTGCCTGAGTCCTTTGAGTAGGTCTCTCTCAACACTTCATTCAGACTTGACTGGAAAGGATCTTCCTTTTCACTCATCTTCATGACTAGGGGCAGGATACAGTCTTTTCTGAATTATTCAATTAAGGCCACAGTTCCTCATGAGCAGCTGGCTGCAGGCCTCCCTTGATTCCTAGTCCCTGCCTTTTCAGTCTCAAAATAGAGTAGCTTTCTTCAACCCAGCATGAGTACATGCTAGCAAATCGGTCTTTTGCCACCTAATCACTGAAGAAGCATATCTGGATTGCTAGAAGTAAGTCAGTATTGGGCACATACACATATGATCATACAACAGGAGCTACATCAGATGCTACTTACCATAATCCCAACCCTGTCACTTCCTTTGGGAATGATCCAGCGTGGTTGTCCTTTTCCCATAATTGATGAATTCTATGGGACCACTTGGGGGAAAGAACAGCAGCCACAGAACCACTAGAGGCAAAATCAGTATAGTTTATAAACTAGTGCTTTTGATCTAGTTAGTGACTGTTCTTTGTTGAGGACGTATGAAATGAGTATTCACTGCTTAAGAAAGACAGTATCTGAATGCCCATCTACATACTGAGCAAGCATACCTGTGTAAGTATATTCCTCCAATTGCCCTGACCGTCTACCTCCTCACTCCAAGTGCTTGGGAACTCAACCAAGGCAGAAATTAACATGACTGAGTGCCATTTACAAATAGCTGAAGACAACCAGACCAGTTGGCTCTGGGCAAATCTTTATTGGGATGACTGATAGATTTCTGATTATCTTTTTAGTTTTTGTTTTGTGTGTTTGTTTTGTTTTGAGATAAGGCCTTATTGTGTAGTGAGGGAGGCACTGTCCTGTGTGCTGAGAGGTGTGTATACCCATATTGGGCCAGGTAGACAAGTAAATTTTTGATTTGACAACCTAGTCCTTTATAAATGATTTCCTTACTGTGGAGGATTTGCTCAGAGTGGTAATTTATAGCCCCAACACCCCTGGAACTCACTGTGTAGACCAGACTGGTCTTGATCTCATAGAAATTCACCTGCCTTTGCCTCCACGGCCTGGGGTTAAAGGTGTGCACCATTACACCTACCTTCTAAAATTTTTTTAAAAAAATAAACTTATTTTAAAATATACTGTTTCTTACAGAAATACTCATTGTTTTTGCTAATAACACTTAGATGTTGGCGCATGCGTCTCTAATCTGTATGTATCTGATTATTACTAGTCATGGTCGGTTGCACTTGGATCCTTGGCACCTGTGTATGGGTATGAAGTCATTGGGTAGATTTCAGTGGTAATGTTTATCACCTCTACTAATTAACATGACATAAATT